CACTTATATTATCGCAATTTAATTTCCGCACTTTAATTTCAGCATTTTTTTAAATTTTGCATCCCCAAGCTTGTCGGCCGTGTCCACTTGTTGGTGGAGTGCACTTTTTATTTTTATTTTTTTTTCTTAATAATCCCCAGACTGTCGGCATAGCTGCATCTTGGTGGAGACTGTATTTATTACTGTAGCTATTTTTTTTTCCTTCCCTCAAATCACCATATCTGTCGGCCCAGCCGCATCCTGGTGAATTACTGTATATATTCATACTGCTTTAAGGGCTCACTAGTCTTATTCGGTTTATACCAATTGACTACGTGCGAACCTTAATTAATTAATAATTCTGCATTTATTTTTTCTTTTCATCTCTCTCTCTCTCTCTCTCTCTCTCTCTCTCTCTCTCTCTCTTTCCCCAATCCCAATTCCCTTCTGGTTATGCTCACACGTTCACGTGGTGCGAATTGTGAATTGTTATTCTTCTCTGACATTGAAAAGCACATACGTGAACAGAAAAAAAAAAAAATGTCAAACGATATTGTTGTTAATGAGCAGGTACCCGATCAACAAATCGTGGATCAGGTTATGAGGACCAGAAAACCGCTGTATGATTATGTTACGCCTCCCGTGGATGAGCATGACAGTGTTATTCCACCAGAGGTTAACATGAATCACTTTGAAATCAAGCCTGCTATCATTCATATGGTTTCAAATACTCAATTTGGCGGAGCGCCAACGGAGGATCCAAATAATCACATCACAAAGTTCCTTCGAGCTTGCAACACCTTCAAAATCAATGGTGTGCCAACTGATGCTGTCAGACTACGCCTGTTCCCATTCTCTCTACGGGATCGAGCTCAGAGTTGGCTTGACTCTTTTCCGGATAATCACTTCTCCACTTGGGATCAACTTCATGGTGAATTTCTCAAAAGATTTTTCCCGCCATCTAAAACGGCGAAAATCCGAAGAATGATTCAAAATTTCAAGCAAAATCCCAATGAGCCCCTCTACGAGGCTTGGGAAAGATTCAAAGATCTTCAGCGACAGTGTCCACATCACAACATCCAAAACTGGCACTTGATGACGGCTTTCTATGAAGGCCTACATGAAAATTCTCGGATACTCGTGGACGCGTCAGCAAATGGATCACTCATGTGCCTGGAACTTGAAGAGGCAGAAGACTTGATGGAGCGTATTTCATCAAATGGATCAACATGGTATTCTGAGCGATCATCTGCTCCACCAAAAATCGGAGGCATGTATGAAGTTGATCAAATGTCGGTCATAACCACAAAGGTCGATAGCATGATGAATATTATCCAAAAGATGGCACAAGTCTCTCTTGTGCAAAACTCAACATCAACTCCAGCTCCCATTCCCGTTCTTATGTGTGAATCTTGCGGTGGACAACACAATCAGTCTACTTGTCCATGGGAAGCAATGGAACAAGTTGACTATGTCAACTACAACAGGCAGCCCCAACAAAATCAATTTGGTAATTTCAATCCTCAAGGAAGAAACCATCCCGGTTTTTCCTGGAGCAATCAAAATGGAGCTGCTAATCCACAACCATCTTACCGGAGTGCACCACCCGGTTTCCAAAACCAACAACAGCAATTCAGAGGTGGCCAAGGTATTGTGAACCAGCAACACTATAAACCCACTCAAAATCTTCCATACCCTTCAAATCAACAGCAAAAACCACTTCTCCCCACTCCTGAAACAACCCAAACTCCTGTTCTAGAAAACATTGTTGACCAACTTCTCAAGTCCCAATTATCTCAAGCTGAAACCCTGAAACAAATCACCGAAGAACTTGGTCAACTTCGGGCTCACAACAGGATGCTTGAGAATCAAATTGCTAATCAAGCATCCACATCATCAACTAAGGTGACAGGTAAGCTTCCTGCTTGTCCTGAAAACCCTAGGGAGCAAATCAATGTCGTCACTACTCGGAGTGGGAAACAACATCAATCCTCGCCCCGTTCTAGTGATGAACAAGAACATGAAGTGTTGGAGGAAAGGGCCGAGCAACAACAGAAAGGTGGAAACAACAACAATGAACTTGATGTCGGTACCATGCCGAAATCATCTGATGATCGTGAAGGGTCGAAGAAAGAAAGAAACAGTTCGGTAAGGAAATATATTCCCCCAGTTCCTTATCCGAACAGATTGAAGAAAGCTAATATGGAGGAGCGGAGAACTAAATTTTTGAATGTTATCAAACAGTTGGATATCTCAATTCCATTGCTTGATGCCATTACAGAAATTCCTTCATATGCTAAATTTCTCAAAGATATTCTCACAAAGAAGAAGGAGAATCCAGCCACTGTTGCAATGAGCCAAGAATGTAGTGCCATAATCCAAAACAAAATTACACCCAAGTTACGTGATCCTGGAAGCTTCTCAATTCCATGTATCATTGGTGGATCTAAAGTTAACAAAGCTCTTTGTGATCTTGGTGCAAGTGTTAGCTTAATTCCCTATTCACTATGTCAAAAGCTACACTTGGGGGATCCCAAACCAACAACAATGGCGTTACAATTGGCTGATCGATCTGTCAAATATCCTATCGGCATTCTTGAAGATGTTCCTGTCAAAATTGACAAGTATTATATCCCGGGAGACTTTGTTGTCTTGGATATGGAGGAAGATGCTCGAGTTCCTGTTATTCTCGGGAGACCCTTTCTAGCTACGGAAGGAGCAATTATCAACGTAAAAAAGGGTACCCTTATCCTTGAGATTGGGGATGATAAGATCGAATTCAATGTACAAGAGCTGAGTAAGGATACACCTTGTGTCCTTGATGGTTACTATGCTGATGTTATAGACTCTTGTATCATAAAGACATTTGATAAGTCTTATTGGCTTTCTAAAGATCCCATGGAGTACACTATACGAGAATCTATTGCAGATGAGCAAGCCAATGAAATGGTGAATTTATGTCTCGAAATGTTGCAAAGCATATCTTTACCGATGCCTAAAGCACCTAAATTTGAAGTGCTTAATCTTGAAGATCAATCCTTGAATGTCAAAGGAAAAGCACCTGAAGTAGAACTCAAACCACTTCCATCTACTTTAAAATATGCTTTTCTTGGCCCGAATTCCACTTATCCTGTCATTGTGAATGCTGATTTAGATCTTCAACAAGTGGAAAGAATATTGCAAGTCTTACGAAGCCATCGCAGAGTTATTGGCTACACCATTGATGTTATTGTTGGCATAAAGGCATCTTATTGCATGCACCACATTTACTTGGAGGATGATCACAAGCCGAGCATTGAGCACCAAAGACGCCTCAACCCGAACATGAAAGATGTTGTTAAAAAAGAAATTCTTAAACTATTGAGTTCGGGTATCATTTTCCCCATTTCGGACAGTAAATGGGTAAGTCCTATCCATGTGGTGTCAAAGAAAGGAGGAATTACTGTTGTAAAGAATGACAAAAACGAGCTGATTCCTACACGAATAGTCACTGGATGGCGCATGTGCATTGATTACCGCAAGCTAAACAAGGCTACTCGGAAAGATCATTTTCCACTTCCCTTTATTGATAAATTGCTGGAGAGGATGGCTAAGCACAAATATTTCTGTTTTCTTGACGGACTCTCTGGATTTTTCCAAATCCCAATTCATCCGGATGATCAAGAAATGACGACATTTACATGTCCTTATGGTACTTTTGCATATCGCAGAATGCCGTTTGGATTATGTAATGCACCAGGAACCTTTCAAAGATGTATGCTAGCTATTTTCTCGGATCTTGTCGAGGAAATTATGGAAGTTTTTATGGATGATTTCTCGGTTTATGGGATTTCATTTGATGATTGTCTTGAACATCTTGATAAAGTGCTGAGCAAATGTGAAGAAGCAAATCTTGTCCTCAACTGGGAAAAATGTCATTTCATGGCAACCGAAGGCATTGTGCGTGGTGGAGCTCTAGAGCCGAAGACGAAGGCGTCCCCGGCAGAATACCAGTCCACCCAGATGCTGGTTGGACCTTCGGCGCGCGTGGTGGAGCCCAGGGCGGATGATTTGCTGCGATATGCGCCCGAGGGGTGCTTTGCTGCTCACACCCTCTCGGTGGAGATGGGGCTTCGGTTCCCGCTCCATCCTTTTCTCTTGGAGTATCTGAGATTTGTGGGGTTGGCCCCTTGCCAGCTAACGCCCAACAACCACTCCTATGTGGCCGGCTTCCTCTCCTTGTGTCAGAGCCGGGGGGTCGAGCCCACACTTGATCAATTCTTCATGTCCTTCAACCTTTGCCGGGGGGGACATTCAAATGCTGAGGGCTTTGCCAACCTTCAGCAGGTACCGGAGTTCCGGCTTTTTGATGATGTGCCCTCGTCTCACAAGGGGTGGAAGGAGAGGTTCTGCTACATCCGCCTCGAGGAGAACCCCTTCCCGGCCCAGCTCCGTAATAGCTTCCGGCGCCATCCGAAGGTGGGGAGCGCAGCTTTGGAGAAGAACGGCAAAGTGCTTGCCAAGAAGCCGGAGGGGTCTGACAAGCACGTCAAGATCAGAGAAGTCACCCTTCCGGAGGATTTGCTTAGCCTGGGCTTCCGGCAGTTCAGACCGAGGGGCTCTTCGGATGAGAGATACCCTCCCCTCGATAGGGTCTTCGAAGGCGCTGGAGGTGATCACCGAATTGTTCACTGATGCGTTGATAGTTCTCTCTTATTCCTCATTTTTTTTATGACGTAGTAACTGGTAGCCTTCGATCTAACCCTCCTGTTTTTTTTGTTGCTTGCAGGTAACAATATGGACGTCGGTTCCCTCTTCGCTCTGAAAAACGCGAAAGGGAAGAAGAAGGCCCCGGCGGGCGCTTCTGCCAGGGAGGGGCCCTCTCAAACTGCTGCCGCCGCTGCTAGCGCCGGAGGGTCCAAAGGTGCCGGGCCCGTAAAAAAGAAGGTCGCTGGAAAGGGGACCGAGCCCCCGGCCAAGAAGCCGAAGACCATCGCCCCTACCAAACAACCGATCACCGATGTGGTGGTGATCGTTGACGAAGGGCACGCCTCTGCCTCCACCCCCCAGGAACAAATCAATCAGGAGTTCTTTGGGCGGGAGAGGTTGGAGGCGTTAGTACCGAAGGGGGCCTCCGTGTTGGAGGGCAGTCTGAACCCCTCGGCTCTGATGAGCCAGATGCTGCCGTCGGCCGACCGACTGGCCCTTGCCCGGCTGGACGAGGGATCCCTCGAGGCGAAAGTCCTCCTGAATGCTGCCTCCGTAAGTCACCCTCCCTTCTTTGTTCATTGTTATGTTTTCCTTCTGTACTATGTTCATTATGCCTTATCCTTGCCTTCGTGAATTGCAGAGTTTTATGGGCCTCTGTGAGCACCTCCGAAGGGTGGATCAAATGAGGGAGGCCAAGGGTGCCGCCGAGGGGGAGGCCGCCCTCCTCAGGAAGAAGCTTGCTGAAGCCGAGGACTCTCTCCGTCTGGCCACCGACGGCATGGAGCAGAGGGTGCAGGCTGCAAGGGCCGAAGGGGTTAATGAGGGGCTAGCCAGGGCCGGGGAGGCCGCCGCCGAGGCCGCCCGTATTGCTGCTGATGAAGCCCGCGCGGCTCAAGAAGAGGCCGTCTCCAAGGCCCGAGAGGATGCGGTGACCAGCTTCACAGTCGAGGGGTGGAGGGCCGAAGACCGGAGGGAGTGGCTCGCTTCGGTGGTGGGGGCTTCAGTAGACGAGTGGGTCGGAGGCCCCGGAAAGATGTGGCTTGCTGAGAGGGGCGACTCGTACTACCAAGGCGGGGAGTTCTTCACCCAACACCTTATCTACCGGAAGCTTGCGAAGCACTTTCAGGTGGCACCGGAGGAGTTCCGTCCCGAGGCTTATGGCCTCCCCCCCGCCAGCCAGATGTCAGGATCCCGCTCCCCGAGGGGGAAGAGAGACCAGTTCTTGAAGACTCGGAGACCCTCCGGGAGTGCGGCCTTGGGGGCGAAGAGGATGAAGCCGAGAGCGAGGCAATATCTACAGTCCCCCCTTCTTGAATTGTATTCCCCCCTTTTGTGTTGTAATTGTTGGCCTCGGCCCCCTTTGTAAAGCACAATCAAACTTCTTTCTTTTTTTGAATGAATGAGTACATATGCCCTCGGGCCTTTGAATGTATGTTTTAGGACTTAGAATATTTTCTGATTGTGGCTTGCCCCTGGAAGCCTTCGGTAGTTGGGCACCCTCTGCTGGATATGCAACCGAGGGTTCAGTAGGAATTAGGACTTAGAAATTTTTTCTAAGTGTAGCACACCTTAGGGCCTTCGGGTGTTTGCAGTAACCCAATTCCTAGGACTTAGAAAAATTTCTAAGTGTGGATTTTCCCTTGTGAGCCCTCGGGATATGGCATCCCTTCCTGATGTGTGAATATTGGACCGAGGGCCCAATGTTCAGGACTTAGAATTTTTTTGCAAGTGTAGCATGTTATGTAGCCTTCGGCTACTGTGGAGCCCCAACTGAAATATTGATTAGGCCGGGGGCCAATTCTTTAGGACTTAGAAAATTTTCTTCAATGTTGATTCCTTGTGTACTGTAGCCTTCGATTGATAGGTAGCCTTCGGCTATTGAGTCCCTTTATAAGTCGAGGGTGAAATATGTAGGACTTAGAAAGATCTCTAAGTGTAGTTGTTCCCTTGGGAGCCTTCGGGAGATGGCATCCCTCCTTGATGTATGAGTAGTTGACCGGGGGAAAAACATGTAGGACTTAGAAAACATTCTAAGTGTAGATTTTCCCTTGGGAGCCTTCGGGAGATGGCATCCCTTCTTGATGTATGAGTAGTTGACCGGGGGAAAGACATGTAGGACTTAGAAAATATTCTAAGTGTAGATTTTCCCTTGGGAGCCTTCGGGTGATAGGTGCCCTCTGACTCCACATCACTTTGCGAGATGCCCGGGGGCTGCTCATTTAGGACAGAATATATTTTTTCCAAGTGTTGTTGTATTGCATGGCCTTCGGCTACCATATTCCCTTGGCTGTAATATTGATTGGGCCGGGGGCCCAATCTTTAGGACTTAGAATTTTTTCAAGTGATGCTTCCTTGTGTCGCCTTCGGGTGATAGGTGCCCTCTGACTCTGCATCACTATTGCGAGATGCCCGGGGGTTACTCATTTAGGAGTTAGAATATTTTCTAAGCGTAAATTGATGTTGAGCTTCCGGATGTAGATCCCTCCGGGTATATGAATAGGAGTCTTTGACCGAGGGCCAAATATGTGGGGCTAAGCAAAATTTCACAGTGTCGTAGATGTTGAACCTTCGGTCCGTGTGGAGTCTGTCCGAGGGGCAAGTATTTTGGAGTAGTCCCCCTCGGTTCATTTTTGATGATTTGTAATATATGCCTTCGGTTGTCCGGTGATATATTAGCCTCCGGTTGCCGTCATTTTCCAAAAATGTGGACTTAGGAAGAGTGTGGAATCTTGTTATTGTGAAGAAAGCCAATGATGAGTGTGTGCCCTCGGCATACACTCTGAAGAGTTGTAGAGTTTGACTCAGCCAGTTGTGTCCCTTATAATGGGGTAGGGGCCCTCGGTATTAATGCATAACAGATGCCTTCGGTGTTTGTGTGACCGGAGGTGACCAGGCAGTGGACTTAGCCGTTTCTTGATGATATTTGTTTGAGTAGTATCCGTCGGGAAATAGGAGCCTTCAATTACCAGAGGTGTTCCCGTGGGGAGCCCTCGGCATGTTGTGATCTGTTGGAGTGTACTCTTTGATTTCTCGCTGAGTCTACTCCCCTTCACCCCCTCTTTTTATTTTTTTATTTTTTTTTGGTTGGTGGTGAAGGGAAGGCATCAAGAAACTTGGTTTCTTGGTAAGGCTGGGCCTATTAGGAGACCATCAGAATACACCAATGGCTCTCCTCCCTCGGGTTAACCTTCCGAGTTCCGAGGGGATCGAGGGTCGTTTCCTGGGCACAAGATATGGTGGTCTGTAACCTGCCTCCCCTTGGGGGATGGCGCGGAAAGCGCCTCATTTTTGAAAGTCGTCCCCTCGGCGCTAGACATAGTCTGTGGCCTGCCACACCCTTGGGGTGGTGGCGCGGGGAGCGTTTTGGTTTGGAAGTCGAATCCTGGGCATTTCTCGTGCCAGTCACACCCTTGGGGTGATGACGCGGATAGCATTCCGTTTTTGAAAGTCGAATCCTGGGCATTTCTCATGCCTGTCATACCCTGGGGGTAATGACGCGGAAAGCGTTTCAAGGAAGGGTTTTCATTTGCACACTAGTTGCAAATGGCCGGGGGCACTACGTGCCGCCGGCACCGACGGTGGCGCCTTCGGTATATGCGTCCTCGTGGGGTACGACTTTTAGAAACAACACTTGGTGTTAGTTTCGATGTGTAGCCCCCGGTACTTGGTACCGAGGGGTCTTCTGTGGGAACACTTGGTGTTCTCTTTTGTTGTAGTTGATGTAGGCGTCTACAAATGAAACACTTGGTGTTTCCCAACAGATGTTTGGAAGTTGACAGGAGAGCATATCCCTGGCACTGGGTGCCGAGGGGTCTTCTTTGAAACATTTGGTGTTTCGATGTTTGATGATGGAGGTGTACCCTCAGCACTGGGTGCCGAAGGGTCTTCTGTAGGAACACTTGGTGTTCGCATCTTTTCTTTTTTGATGTTGAAGGTGGGGATGTACCCTCGGTACTTGGTACCGAGGGGTCTTGACTGAAAACACGTGGTGTTTTCATTGTTGTTGTAGGTGTTGATGGTGTCCGCCCTCGGCACTTGGTGCCGGAGGGGGTTCTTCTCGTGGTGAGGCCGGGGGCCTGTAGTAAGTATGAGGGCTTGATGTCTTGAATGCATCTTCATTCTTCGAAATTGGAGGCCTTGGGCCATAGGATAGTACATTTACTAGTTATGAGGGCTTGGCCGCTCTTACATTATTGATAAAATTTAACTAAGTGGTGTACATTCCAGTGCCTAGGGTCTTCTTTCCCGTTGGGGCGTTTGAGCTTGTATGTTCCAGGTTTGATGATGGCTGCAATGATGTAGGGACCTTCGAATTTTGGTGCCATTTTGCCTCCCTCGGTTGGTTGGCTGGCTTCCCTCCTCCGGAGGACATAGTCCCCCACTTGGAATTCTCGGGTGCGAACTTTGGTGTCGATGTAGCTTTTGACTTGCCTTCGGTAATTTTCTGCCCGTATGAAGGCCTGCTCCCGGCGTTCTGAAATGAGGTGGAGGTCGAGGGCCATGTTGCTGTCGTTGACCTCGGGGTCGTATTGGATCACCCTTCGGGTGGGGAGGGTGACTTCCGTAGGAGCTTTGGCTTCAAAACCGTAGCAGAGGGAGAAGGGTGTTTCACCTGTTGCTCGCCGAGGGGTGGTGCGGTAGGCCCACAGGATGTTGTGGAGTTCTTCCACCCAACCACCGCCTTCGGCCTCCAGCTTCTTTTTGAGGCCCTCGAGCAAGGTCCGGTTGGCGTTCTCTACTTGCCCGTTGCCTTGAGGGTAGGCAACGGAGGAGAAGGTGTGTTTGATGCCCCATGCCTCCAGAAGGGCACAGAAGGGGGCTGCCTCAAATTGTGTCCCATTGTCGGAAATGATCTGCTGGGGGACGCCAAACCTTGTGAGGATGTTCTTGAGGACGAAATGACGGCACTTCGCCTCTGTGATACTGGCGAGGGGCTCAGCCTCCACCCACTTGGTAAATTAGTCGATGGCCACAATGATGTACCTGTTGTTGGAGGTACCCCTCGGCAGAGGGCCCACAAGGTCTATCCCCCATCGAGAAAAAGGAACAGATGTGCTGATGGGGGCATAGTTGACCGCTGGCCTGCCGGGGGCTTTCTGGAAATGTTGACATGCGGTGCACCTCCGGGCAAGGTCTGCACAATCTCTGGCCATGGTTGGCCAGAAGTAGCCCTGGAGAATGAGCCTTTGGGACATGGAGAAGGGTCCCTGGTGAAGATAGAGGGTCTCCCCTACCTTTGGTTTTGAGAGCACAGGGGGTGAAGATAGATACCGCTTGAGTTCGTCGAAAGCCCCCTGGCATTCCGGAGGCCATAGAAAGCCAGCCGTCTTCCTCATGATCTGGAAGAAGGGTGGAGACTTCTCCGCTGGTTTAGATAGAAAGCGGTTGAGGGCTGCCAGGCGGCCCGTCAACCGTTGAACTTCCTTCACATTGCGTGGGGGCTCCATGTTGATGATGGCCTGGATCTTCTCGGGATTGGCCTCAATACCCCCTCGGCTCACCATGTAGCCCAAGAATTTGCCTCCTTGGACGCCGAAGGTGCACTTCTTCGGGTTTAGCCGAAGGTTGAATTTTTGCATGATGGCGAAGATTTCCCGGAGGTCGTCAGCATGGCTGGAAGATTGTTTGCTCTTGACGATCATGTCGTCAACGTAGGCCTCCATGGTGCGCCCTAAGACGGCTTGAAAGACCCGGGGCACCATCCGGGTGTAAGTGGCCCCTGAGTTCTTTAGGCCGAAGGCCATTACCAGGTAGCAGAAGATGCCCTCGGGAGTCATGAAGGCAGTTTTTTCGGCGTCTTCCTCGTGCATGAAAATTTGGTGATACCCTCGGAAGGCATCGAGGAAGGACATGATCTCACACCCTGCGGTCTCATCCACCAGTTGATCAATATTTGGTAGGGGGAATGGATCCATAGGGCACGCCTTGTTGAGATCGGTGTAGTCCACGCACATGCG